GTGACGTCAACTGGAGACATATCTTTAGTTCCTGAACAAACTGGTTGTTTATGACGTGACGTCAACCGGAGACATATCTTTAGTTCCTAAATAAGCTGGTTGTTTGTGACGTGACGTTAACCGGAGACATATCTTTAGTTCCTAAATAAGCTGGTTGTTTATGACGTGACGTCAACCGGAGACATATCTTTAGTTCCTGAACAAACTGGTTGTTTATAACGTGACGTCAACCGGAGACATATCTTTAGTTCCTAAATAAACTGGTTGTTTATGATGTGACGTCAACTGGAGACATATCTTTAGTTCCTGAACAAACTGGTTGTTTATAACGTGACGTCAACCGGAGACATATCTTTAGTTCCTAAATAAGCTGGTTGTTTATGATGTGACGTCAACTGGAGACATATCTTTAGTTCCTGAACAAACTGGTTGTTTATAACGTAACGTCAACCGGAGACATATCTTTAGTTCCTAAACAAGTTTGTTTTTGTGGCTGTGATATTGTAAGACTTATAATGATATAACAAGTCCTATTGTAATGCTGCAAGTCTTACTGTAAAGACACAAGTCTTACTGTAAAGACACAAGTCTTACTGTAAAGATACGCGTTCTACTGTAAAGTTACAAGTCTTACTACAAAGTTACAAGTCTTGCTGTAAAGATACACGTCCTATTGTAAAGTTACAAGTCTTACTACAAAGTTACAAGTCTTGCTGTAAAGATACACGTCCTATTGTAAAGTTACAAGTCTTACTACAAAGACACAAGTCTTGCTGTAAAGATACACGTCCTATTGTAAAGTTACAAGTCTTACTGTAGAGATACACGTCCTATTGTAAAGTTACAAGTCTTACTGTAGAGATACACGTCCTATTGTAAAGTTACAAGTCTTACTACAAAGTTACAAGTCTTGCTGTAAAGATACACGTTCTATTGTAAAGTTACAAGTGCTATTGTAAAGTTACAAATCTTAGTGTAAAGTTACAAGTTTTATGTTAGGGAAAAATTATGGATCTAGCCGCAACCCTCAAAATATTTGCTGTAGTTTTCATGCCCTTTGTTATTTTCACGCACGCCATTTAAGCTACGCTTTCTTGCAAGCATTATGTGTTAGATGGATAACTCCAGGTTTGTATGAAAAAAATTACGTGGTAAGACAAACAAACTCACGTAAGCGTATCTTTATTTAATAAAACTACACGTATAAAGTATAGATGGTGTTTATAATAGTGTACAGAGTATGAAACAGTTATAAGCATTCGGTGTATGACACGATTGTATGAGTTGAAACAAAGAAACTCACAAAGTTGCTAAAAGATGTTTATAGAAGTCTGTGAAACGAACCGAAGCTAAATTATTGCAAAGTAAAGCTGTAATGAAGGCAAACGTAGCTGATTATGCAGAAACGTCTGAATGCATGTTCACAAAGTTATAAGCACATGGTTTTAACGAGATGCGCATGCGTATTTTATACCTAAATATGCCGAGAAAGCTCATATAAATTATATTTAGTGTAATACAAATTTTTAAGGAAATTTCACGTGGGTTAAGCGTTGTTTGTGGGAAATACTTTACAGATAAAAAACTAAAGTTGAAATCGAAGCCAGTCGTCACGTGATGTCAACGACATTGTGCCATCGTGTACCATACCTGTTGCATTAAGAAGTTTGACTAAGCAAAAACAGTGAGTTTGAAATCCAATATGCAATCAGGACTCTTGGGACAAAGGCCTTTTTTAACGATTCAAGATTTGTAGCGTTTGACCGAGAAATGTGCGAGAAAAGTTCCGGGAAGACAAACAGACAAACGCAAGTGTAGTATTATTTATATAGATTTAACAGATTACCGATAATTTGAAAAATGTAACTTTTCTGTGAGCAGCGTTGTGTTTTGTTGATGACATAAAACAAAAGTGTCAGAATAGAAGTAGGTCTTAAGATTGTCAGGTGATTCTTTAATAGCCTGAATTATTTTCTTATTATCTTTCTATAAAATGGAGTAAGGGGTATAACTAGTCCTAAGGAGAATTTATGTTTCTTAAAGGCACATACAGAGCAATAAATATTTTTTGATCCGTTGATGACATGCGGGATGCTGAAAAAATGTCCGACGTTTATAGCATCAGCATATCATAAATAACATATCATTCATAAAATAGAAGCAACAAACCAAAATGGCACTTCTCATAGTTCTTCATCAACTTACCATATATGTACATGACCCCTGAAATTTCAAAGATGGCGTAAAGAAAAGCCGCAGCGCCCACACAATAGTTGTCCAAGAGATACATAACATAGAGGCCAGCCTAAAATGTGAAAATATTATTGTTAATTAAACAATAAGCAGTAAGTTACGTAATTGTTGTTCAAGTGATAAATAACATAGAGGCCAGCCTAAAATGTGAAAATAGTATTGTTGGTTCAACAATAAGCAGTAAGTTACGTAATAGTTGTTCAAATGATACATAACATAGAGGCCAGCCTAAAATGTGAAAATAGTATTGTTGATTAAACAATAAGTAGTAAGTTACGTAATAGTTGTTCAAATGATAAATAATATAGAGGCCAGCCTAAAATGTGAAAATAGTATTGTTGATTCAACAATAAGTAGTAAGTTACACAACAGACATAACATAAAGACTGGCCTATTATATGGAACAGTATTGTTGATCATACAGTAAGCACTAATTTTACAATACCAATGACGTCGTCAACAGAAAAAAAAATATGATTTATTCGTAGTGCAAAATTCTTTACTGCTTCGTATTTATTCAAATTTGAAAAAATAACCAAAAAACTGGTAACCAAATAAGCTTTATTTACTAAAAATATACATTTTCTGTTGCAAAAGTTGTCAGATTCATAACAAAATGTCCCTCTTTTCATCAAATTATTTGTGAAAACTTTCTACAAGATATTTAGAAATATGTAACTGTAGATAGACTTTATTTTATCAAATTTTATTTTCCGCTCTTGGATCTTGTAAGTTAAGAGATTAACAACATACGCCTAAACAAAATGGCGATTGAATTCTCAAAAATATAACTTTCTTAAAAAATACAAACAAACTACAAAGCTACTTTAGCACATTAAACCTGCTAGCAGAATATTTATTAAACTGATAACATCTAAATTTATACATCACATTAGGAAATTATTACTAGCGAATTGCATTCACCCTCAGATTAATGAAAATGATAAAACTGCTACTTACATTTGTGGTGAGGGGAAGACCGCCTAGGAAACACAACAGGCACAGGCCGAAAGCAAGCACTGCTTTCTTTTGATGTAACTTTGGCATCTCGTCTTTTATCACAGTCAGGATACTTTCTACAAACCCCATCTTGCGAGTTTGAACAGATAAATTTCTGTAGTTTAATAAAAACCTCTTCGACATATGAAAACTCAATCAAACATTAGTAAAAGCGACAAAACCCCAACTTTAGTTCACATTTTGAAGCGCTAATACTAATACAAAAAATGCGAATGTTTGCATATGTAATCAATGTTTGGTGTTAGTTGTGTTTCATTAGCTTGTTTGGTGTTGGTTGTGTTTCATTAGCTTGTTTGGTGTTGGTTGTGTTTCATTAGTTTGTTTGGTGTTGGTTGTGTTTCATTAGTTTGTTTGGTGTTAGTTGTGTTTCATAAGTTTCTTTGGTGTTGGTTGTGTTGCATTAGCTTGTTTGGTGTTGTTGTGTTTCATAAGATTGTTTGGTGTTAGTTGTATTTCATAAGATTGTTTGGTGTTGTTTGTGTTTCGTTAGTTTGTTTGATGTTGGTTGTGTTTCATAAGTCTGCCAATGAATTAATGCAATATCTATACATAATGAGTGTTTTACCATTTTTAACCAACTTCACTGAGAAGGAACTTAAAAGAATATTAAAAGTATATATTCATTTTCAACAGCACACATTTTTAGAAATTAGGGAAATTGCAACGACGTTTCTAATTGCAAATGAACAAATAAATATAGTGCAAGTCTATACCCAAAAAATATATGTGGGGGTACATACCCCACTAAATCCATCAGTAGATGCAGAAACACTTTTCAAATAGCCAACAGAAATTTATCAGCTATTTGAAGAACTTGTAGCATTCCGCCACAATTTAATTCTTCGTATTGTTAGCCGACACTGGGCAGCTTGTACATAATTGACTAGAGTTGTTTAAATATTTGTTTAACAACGAGTAAAAGTTTAG